ATTAAATCAGACAAGCTTAAATAGAAATAAAGATGCATCTGTTCCCTGTAGATATCTCATTGGTTACATTAATTGCTGAAAGTCAAGTTAAATTAATGTATTTTACTACTGTATATTTCGTAGTTAGAAAAATAAAACTTTAATCCGTAGGTTGTATTCACCTCAGACTGATCTCAGCCGGCATAACATTGAAAGCCGGGGAGCATTGAAGATTTGTTCATTTCTCACAAAAGATCGAACCCAGGACCTTCTGGTCTTTCCATATCACTGTTAGAACCACTGAGAAGAGATCTAATGGTACAATTTCAAACTTAATCAATTTACTATTTACTGTCGATCTAATTCATTTGTACGTGTTAATAAGTATAGACTATTTGCTGATTGTTTAATAGTCCTTGTAATTTTAAAGAATTGCTTTTAGCTTATTCTCCAATGTCGTTCTGACCTTAATAATAGTAAGTGTAATAACTCTTGGTTAAATATACACACTTCCTATTGACTCTGAATGCAACTATCCTGTGTACTTAAGTGTCTTGTTATCAGAATAGAAATCTCTTATTTATCCTACTTAAACTTATTTTAATATTGAGGGCAAAGATACAACCAGCTTCTATTCACTGATCAATAAATGTCCTTATTACAACTATACTAAAGTTAACTACCTTACAAATATCTCACCTTTAACATCCTGGTTTATGTTTGTGTGAGATGATCAACAGTATAAGTGAAAAACTATAACGGAGTATTACTTTCATTGCTAATGTATATGTATACTATCGCTGATGTGTACAAAGTGTAGAACTATATGTCCTAATAGTTGTAATAATATATCCAACTACAAAGTATGAAATTTCACTAACTGGCAAGTTCCTGATTCACAACACTCTAAACCTATCTGTTCCCGGACTGAAAAGTATCTTCATATTAGTTTGAATCCTATTTCAGAATCCATATTTCAAATACTGCTCAGATACTTGTTTCTCTTTAGTTTAAGTGGACTAATTTTAATAAGATGAAAGTTGTACTATGGTGCTCTCAATAAGTTAATAATAACGTATAGTGTTTTAGCTAACCAGCTAGCTACATCTGAAAAGTTATTTCGAAATTCTGAATACATTTCGTAGGTTATAAAACAGACTGACCTTATTTTAGTAATCACTGGAAACTAAGGGTCACTGGACATGTGTTTTCTTCTGGTATGGGGTTACCCAGAGGTGCGGATCCATGACTTCGATGCCACTGATGAGGCAGTCACCCATTCTTAGCATTAAGATAATGAATGGATGTCTCTGACGTAACATTTCTGTATACAAATCACTGATTAAATTATTGAATACGTCTCGTTAATAACGTCGGACAAGTGGAAAAATCAAGCCCATAGTTTTTTTGTTGATAACCTTAAAACACTCATTTAATCTTAGTTAAACAAAAGTATGAACAGACACAATCTGAGATTGATTTTCACCACAATGTGATATCAACTAAAGTACCATTTATAAACAAATAGTACTGGAAAAGTGTTTCATTCTAGTATGGAAATCTTCAGCATTGGGTAATGTTACATTACCTAGAAACTATTTCCATTACACATTTATGAATTATTGTTAATAAGTTGTTACTAGCTTAGGGATTTATTATGGATTAAAGTAAATATAGATACTAAACTTAAATTATTCACAATATGGAATATGGTTGTAAGACATTATAATTTAAAATCATTAAAACAAATATAATTCCGAGCTGGAAAATATGAAAGTTACTAGCATGAAACAAACTTACTTGACATATGTTGATTATGTTTCTCCTAATAACTGTCTCCACTAAATAATAATAATCATAGGAAAGATTAGAGTAGCACTCATAATTTTTAATTTCAAGGACATTATAATAGGTATGCACTTTCATTAACAACTGTATATCAGTTATTATAACAAACTATCACGTGAGCGCAACTGTAAACCAATAAACGACTCACTGTGTGGTAAGATATACAAAAAAGTTTTTGCAAACATTATTTGTAGTACAACTAACCTTTTTATTAAATAAGAAATTTGATAATGTAATAAGTACAAGAGATATTTTTAGTTCATTAGCTTTTGAAGATTTGATCATTTTGAAGAAAACTTTCTGAACAAACTAACAGCTAATGGAACATTGGAAACCAAAAAAGTACTATACGATTGTTTCGTTTTATACCGGGATTCTTCAGCATTCAATAACCAATCTACACTTCTATTCGTTTCACGTTCCATCAATGACAAAGATAGCATTTCGTAAAGGTTTTAATTCTGATGACTTTATTCAATAGAATTGATGCATCCTTCAATCATCATTCTATTTGTAACCTAGGAGATATTCATTTTGCATTTTTATTGTTCTTTACTCTCAGGGATCAAGTATTTGGATTCTTTGGTAGTTCCGAACTATGAAGTTTATTGTTGTTGTTCTGAGCCATGTTAGTGTCTGCAAACCATCTGACCGGGGTCCGTTTGACAATTATGGTCAGTACTTAGGGACCTTGGCTAAACCTCATAAGATGTACACGATTAACGAGTTTCATATTAGGGATAAAACTGTCATTCCTGATCTGCAATTTTTATCTAGTTAGTCAGTTCATGCTTTAAACTAAAAAGCAAACAATCTTCTGAAACTTCATTCATGGTATTAGAAACAATGTATACACAATAAAGATTATATGAAAGTATATTGCGATTGAAAATTTAAGTTTCAGCATTTTGTCTGTAATTAAATAATTCTATGAAGTCTCTATAGAACGTACCAAGATTTATAAATGGAAAAACTAGATGGTGCTGAGCATATCCCTTGAAAAAGTAAATTATGGATCACACCAGTACATTTAAAGTACAGTAGGAGTTATGAACTAGTTCGAATATTTCTCAAATCATGCAAACTGGTGCACAGAATTACTCCATTACTTTTGAGTCTCATAAATTTATAAATTTTCGACAAACCATTGATGGTTAGGCCAGAAGTTTCATTTTGCTATTATGGGACACCACAAGAGTGGGTATATCTACAACATTACATTGAATTGAAACAATAATTAAAGCATCACACTATCTGTTACCTTTGAACTTATTCAGTATTTTAAGAGCTTATGTTCCATTCTAATTCACATGGGATTAAAGTAGACAATGGGTTTAAATATATGAACTGATCAACTGGTCTTTTATTTTAGGATTGCTGATTAGGGATTAAGCTGATGCAACTATGAGAGTAAGCTATATTCATGAAGCAACTTCAGACAAATAAAAAAAGTGGATGCAAACGAGTAATGGATAGATAGTGAGTTGTGATTTGCGATTTTACAACAGTTCAAAACTATCACTCCTCATAGGACAAAGTTACGGAAATCGAGTTTTCATGACAGGTATGATACCTTTTAGCCACTCCAGCTGATGTCATTTAGTGGAGGAAAATCGCACTTAAAATTTACAAAACCTATAGAAAAAATTTAATAATCAGCCTCTCAATAGTAAATAACTCTATGACGGATTTCCTGGAGTTTAAATTAGAAGTAATAGTGTTAGGAGTGAAGGAATAAGCAGTCGATGATGCCGGACGAAGATCGTAAGTTATCAAAAAGTGGTTGACTTTATGTAAATATATCAATGGGTTCCAAATTCTTGAACCAATGAACTTGGGTTGGAGTGATAAGTGGGTACTGTTTAGGAATCATGAATTGAGACAAATTAGCCATCCAATGTTCTTCATTTTTGAATTATCCATGACCAAAGGTTATCTACATATTAAGCAGAAAGCTCTTCATATAGTTAGTTCATCCATTAATTATTTTGGACACAATGATGTCCTCATCTTTTTTTATTGTCTTAAATTATTTAATTTCCGTGTACTTTATATGATAAATTAAGGTGAAAAATTGTCACCTGACAATAATCAGGTGATAATGAGAGTTATTTAATTAACCCCTGTAGTTAAATACTTGGATATCTTTTAACCTTTTATTTAATCATTTGCTCTCCCTATACTTAACCTATTTACTGTATAAAATCTTTACATTTTACATTATTCAATCAAAAAGTCTTCATTTAGATCAGTTTTACCTTGTGTGAGGGTAGTAACAACTTGGTGGCCTGCTTGAACATCTGGGTTACCTGTTCCTGCTATCTAGATTTCTCAACAAGTTATCTATTTTTGTTTGTTTTCATACATCATCATGTCTATTAATCGCATAACCTATTCAAGTGCACTTCTGAAAAGTGTACAACCTTTCGTTGTATAAGTTACAAAAGGCTCAATCAGAAATATTGTGGTTGCTGGCAATGTGCAGCTAAAAGAATGTACAGTATTTCAATGTTGATTTGTTAGACTGCTAACATCTAACTGGCGATCACTCAATATCGATTAAGAAATAAGAAACATAAACTTCGTGCTGAGAATTCTATATTGTATCAAAAATATAGTATTGAATAAAGCTAATAATAATAATAGTAATTTATAATTGTAACCAATTAGTGTTAAAGAAAAGTGCATTATTACTCTGAAATTAATCTTTTTGATAAAGTGGGATTATTAAAATCTACACTGATTAGAATAGTCTTAAATATTAGTTTTTGTACTCTAATAAAGCAAATGACTAAAGTTCCAAAACAAATTTAAGACACAATAGCCTATGAGCTTTAGATCTCAGCAAAGAAAATGAGATTTTTGTTAGGGATTAACTTGCTGAAGTAATTTGATAAATTTCAATGGATTAACTAATTGAGAAATCAATCATTCGAATCTATTGACCATTTCAATTCTATGTCAGATTCATTAATAATCTTTTTAAAATATTGGGAATTTATTCGCTGACTTGTTTCGTCAAACATGTCGCTAAACATAAACTCATTATGCAGTGTAAAATAAAATATTCGTTCCCAGCTTAGCTAATCAAAACATTACTGAAAATGAAAAAAAGATATTGGTTAAGAAAACAGTATTATGGTTTAAACACGAATCATTTACACAATACTTACTTGTATACATTCATGATTTTCACTATGTGAACTTGATTCTGTATAACATCAATTAACAATGAGAACATTTGAGTAAAAGAAGAATTATTGACTAACATTAGATTATATTAGATAGAATGATGAAAATCTTGACACAAGAGATAGATAGATAGATTGTATATTCATCATACTAAGCCAACTGAAGTTAAGATACTAAAATATAAAACAAAGTTATCAATGGACTGTATTTTGTTGAAATTAATTCTCTTCATATTCACAAGATATTTGATGGTTATCTTTTTCTTTTTCTTCTTCTGAAACGTTCCAGTTACATTCTTCTTTCTGAGAAAAAAGATATTTCGTATTAAATCTTTCAAAAGTCAAATAATGTAGATAAGTCATTGGAACATTCAATGTAATCTTAGCTATTGTGAAGATAATCTAATTTTTTTTCTTAAAATTTTTATAATGAATCATTTATTCATTTACTGATTTATGGATTAATGTTTTTGTAACATAAATATTTACACAATTTAATCAGTTACTCAATTAACACAATTGACACAATCAACAATCATAATTTACCTATTGTCATACTTTGTAATCCAATGATAAATACATATTTTTTCCATAATATCTGGGGTATAGATTGAAATTAATGTAAATCATAATGAGAATAATAATAATAATAATGATTAAAAGAACGTGATCCTTTTATTACTGTAACACATGATCGCTAATTTTGCCATATGTATATATATCCATTGCTTTTACAAGCAAATTAATAGTATACAAGGTCAAGTTATTTTCAGTTCTTTTCTTTATTTAATTGTATACAATAGATATATTTATAGTGATATACTACTAAGTCTATAAAGCATTATCTGATTTATAAAAAAGATAGAGATATAGAATATGTCGATTGAGCTTTTAACCAATAAACAATTAAACAATTGAATGAAATAAAACAAAAATGAAAAAGTGAGTAAAGAAAATAAAAAAAAATGTAAATCAATTGAAATTGTCACATAAAAGTAAGATAAATGTCAGTCAGTTAAACAGCTAGTTACAACGTAAGACCAGGCACATACATGCATCGGTCCAAGTTGCCATATCTCATTAGCACAGCAAGATGAATACCGAATTCATAGAAGTAGTTAATTTAATGGTGTGCATTTTTAGGGTGGACCTTTTCTAACCTCACCCCTCCTTATGAAAAAGCAGCATCGCTGTTATGGTGGTTGTTTGAAAGAAACACCTTACTGCTGTCACACCTCTGTACAGTCAGCAGTACGACTTCACCTTCGGACTTTGGGTTTGCTGCTTTTAGTCTTACCGTTTTTCAACCGATTTGTCTGGCATGGTAGGACCTTGAGGAACGATTTTTTCAGACAGTATGGCTCGACTGGTTCATCACGATAGACAAGCCCGACCATCACGTCAAGGTAGCAACAACGGTCAGGAAAATAAATGTGAATGATTTTAAATGAATCATTTCCTGTTATTTACAGTTTGTTATATAATAAATCAGAGTAGAATAAAAAGGTATTGGAGATTTCAAAGTGTATAAAAATTATAAACATACGTGAATTTTATATAATCTTCAATAAGAATTTAATAACCCGTTTCTATAGCAGTCAGGTATCAATGTTCGGACCTTTAGTTTTTAAAGAATGTTTAACAAAGTGGAAAGATATAGGAGGAAAGTTCAGGAAAATTCTGGGGAAGTCAGACGTTTAAGTAGTATTTTTTTGCAGACTTTCCGTAACATATACATTTCTTCAAAGTGTTCCTTTCAAATATTTTCACTGTTGTTAAGATTCCTTACTTATAAAATGATCGCTTAAAACTCTATTACGAAGTTGATCATAATTCATTCAACAGATAGTTAAGTTAAATCATTGAACAATAATTCTATAATTAACATAAGTTATTCATAATTAAATCGCTTCATGCATTGACCTTATGTATAACTTAGCAGATATAGGAAAATACTGAAATAAATTTGAAGGCCTTTGAAAGTAGGTTGTCATTATGTTAACAATAACATGGTTATGGAATGTTCAAGTAGCGTTTTTCAACGCAATTCAATTGTACTTTGGATGAAATTCTGAAATAAAGTAGAGGAGTACAGGAAACGCACTAATTAATAATAAAAATGATTAAAATTTACTGTTATAAACAACAAATACATCACGTAAGTCTTGTCATTCTGTAACACAGCTGATAACAACACCAGGTGCTTCTAAAAGTTGAAAATTGTTGTTTGGTAGTTGCATATTTCAATTAATGTACGCATAACCGTATGCTCTTTAGGTCTTTTTTCACTTGAACCTCGCTTCCTATATGGATTGTGTTGACTGAGAAGATTCCTCCAACTAAAAAAAACCCGCATCATCACGGTCCACTAATTTATCAAACTTAATTTGTAACATTCAGGTTTCGAAAAGTAGATGACGAATCCGATAACAACACGTTGTAGTAAAATTTTGTCGAAGACCTTTGAATGAAGTTATAAATAAATTTTGGTAAAATATTTTTCCTATGGTTGATCGATGTAAGATTTGATAATACGATAGCTGACCTTCATAATTCTATGCTTTTAAGATAATAAATTATGATACGGTTGTGTTACACTAAAAATCTGTTGTTTTATATATATTTCACCATTTTCACCTACTGAGAAACATTTCCCTTCAATAGTACTCATAAGCATCACAACCAAGTGGGAATGCAAGAACCGCTCGTAGTTTCTAACCACTGAGAATATATCTATTTCGTTGAAAATCCTTTTTGATAAACTTTAAAATCATACAATTCATTCAATTGTAATCCTTTTAAGAAATCTATTGGAATAAAACTATAGACTTTCATTCCTCTAGACAAATCATATATGTGGATGAATGTGTTTTTCGGTGGAGTACAATGCACGACTGTTATTGGTGAAACACATCTTTTATACTTCATACTTGTGATGTAGCTTTTAGGTACTTATTTTACATAGTAGCAATTCTGGATTCATTATCTGTCTAAAAATGTGTTTAATCTAAATGCAATCATTTTTTGACTAGCAGTTTAAACTTATGAAGATAAAGTCCAACGAGAATATTTACATTTTTATGTCAAATAAATAAAGTTTTAAAGTTTATATATAACGATTTTAACTACTTAAATATTTCTAGTAGTTAAAAACGGACCATAAAAACGAACAAAAAAAGCTGTCAGAAAAATATACCGTTTACTGATGAGACAAAAATGACGACTCACCGAGTGTTGTTCTTTTGAATTACTGTAACTTATTGCTTCTAATTGTATTGTTGGATGAATTCCACTCCAAATCGACCTGAAAATATTTTTTATAGGTTTAATGGAAAGCCTACTTTATTAAATTCATCAAGTAGATTGTGGAGTACATATGATTATCTGTAAGTAATCTTAAAGTAATGGTTTGTAATAAATCATAGACCAAAGTTTTATTTGTTATACTGTTAACTACAATATGCTTATTAGCTCCAAGGCAGCTATTATCTGATTACTTAGCTTATCCTTTGAAGTATTAGTTAACAAGTCTACAAAACTGTTCATTGTGTAAATTTCGAGCATATATACAATCAGTCAACGATCTGTATTAGGTCATGATGAATAAAGAGTACTTGTAAAGTGTTTTTTACTCATCCACTAGGAACCAATCTGATTAGTCATAAAAATATAAAACTATTGTGAATGTTTCAATAAAATTAATGATTCATTTGTTAACCCAGCTTTACTCAACATTGAATCCATAATTCACATTGAATTTTAGAACGAAGTTTTACTGAAAAGCATAAATTAAGGAAGCGAAACAGAAAGGATGATATAAATAATTTCCTCAGGTATCGAACAAATATAACCGATGAGTGAAATAAATTGGTGAGATTATTTCCAGGTAAAATCAACACTATATCCACATTATCATCATTAGTGACAATTCTGAAATTGAGAACATCAGAGATGATTAGGAAAAACTGGAAGCAAGATTGTTATAGTGATGCAAATAAATAAGTACCAGTTACGATCTATTCATTAAGTAACTAGATGATTTGAAGTTAGATCCGATATATTCACAATTTACATTATGTATTAACTTTAATTAAACAACCACTGAAAATCAAAAAGCTCAAGACCGCTACTTTACTCTAATACATGACCTCCGGCAATAATCTTATCCTAATTATTGGATAACTTCGAAAAGTAACTCTCGGAGTAACGATGAGAAGCCGTGATTAGTAGTCAGATAAGTAACTGCAATTTAGAAAATCTTCATAGTGATCTTTGTTTGCAAATAATTAAACTCCTAGATGATGAGTAACTAGATCAGGTACATTTCCTTAAAGGATTTTGACAATGTGGTTAATTTAGTTCTATATTTTCATTCTAAACAATCGGAAAACCATTGTATGTAGTGTGATTTGATTAGTAGTAGGTAGAAGAAACTACTTTTCTTTAAAAAAAACATTATTTTACTGATAGATGGGCACATTATCCACGTTTACAAGTGTTAGGTTTATAACACAATAGTATTCATTATTATTTGGTTTTTGGTAACTCATTAAAAATCAAGCACTTTTACCATTAACTCATTGTTTGTCATAATTTAAGTGTTAAATTTTGAAAACTGATTGAGGTGATAAAATATATTTTCCATGATTAAACAAAATACACCATCAGTATATTGAAATGAAAGTATTTAGGCTACATAAATCAGATTTTTATTCCTTGGAGAATTGAAATTGAAATTTTTAAAATTATTTTTATACTTTCCTTTCAAATGCCTGTAAAAAGAATTCAACTATCAAATACTTTTAAGCAATGGACTTAAACTTATTTTTATAAACAAAGATGGATAGTGGCTAGCAGTGGAATCCAGGACGCGCTTTTCGTCCTATTTGGAACTCGTCAGCTAGATGTACCTGAACCACAGAGTTGATGTTCACTCTGGGACTCAAACCCTGTACCGTTGGCTTCAAACGCCATAGCGTTATCCACTCAGCTGCTTAGTTAAATAACAATGGGATGATAAAGGTAAAACAACACCAAGTGAGTTTATTTTTATAAAGTTTGAAATTATGTTTTATATTCACGAAGTTTGTTTAAATTCAGCAAGTCATACAATTTACATATTTATTTTCCCAAAAAATACTTACCAAGGTGATTATCTCAGAATTATTGGTAATTAAAGGATAATAATCCGCGATAGAAAATTTTTTTATTTGGTTGCGCTCAACATGCTTAAGTTAAAATATTTAACATTGAAGGGGTTTAACTAAAGTTTAAAAAATTGGAAAGCTAAACTAGCAAAGTTATATTGATTATGTAGCAATAATAAAACTAATGGTTTTATTTAGAGAACTTGGAGAATGAAATGAATAATCTTATTCTAAACGATTTTAAAAAATATTATCGACTGCTGTAATCTGTGTTATCAACA